AAAATTAATCAGTATCTAATTTAATATCCATACGTATTTTCCTTAGGTTTTAGTCATAGACAGTGGGTTCTGTGGACGTCACCTTGCTTCACCATACCTTACCACTAGGTGTCACTGTGGCTCTGCACCAGGCTTGTCTGGTAGCAAAGAATGAATGACAGCATCTCCTCTTGAGAAGCCACTTCCAGGGCAGCAGGCAGGCAGGCTCCTTGGCTCAGAGGGTTTAGGAAGGAGGGAACAAAGAGGTCTGGAACGGGGTCTTCATGCATCCGTGCCAGTCGTGGCAAGATAAGCTTTTTGAATGCTGCCTGCTTTGGACCATCATCCAGGCAGAGGCTGGGAGACCCCTTTCTTCCCTGTCGGTACCCATCACAGTTCCTCTTGGCCTCCAACTTCTATAACCCCAGAAGTGTCACAGTTGGATGGCTTGATTCAGACAGTTATTTTTCTACTGCAGAAATGCCTTGGACAAAACCAGTTGCTCACTGAATCTTTGCCACGAAATGGAACAGGCTCTCCCCGAGGGGCAGGACGTGCCCACTCACCCCCTGTCCCAGCCTCACCCGCCCTGCCTGTCTGTCCTTGGGTCCTCTCAAGAAGCTGATCTGCAGAGGCAGCCTGTTGCTGCTGCCACGCCAAGGCCTGTGCTGCTGTTGCATGTGCGATAGGAGGTGTGGTTTCTTCTCCTCTAGGAATTCCAGACGGACCATCTACCATGCCTAACAACAATGAACAAAGGGCTTAGGGGTAAGAGCTACCTACAAAGACGTGTCATGGAAACCTTCACCATGCAATGCCTTGAACTCAGCTCTGGCTGCTCCCGAGAAAAGGTGGCTGGCTGGGGGCCTGGACACAAGCACAATGGGGCTGGTGGAGCCATGTGCAGAGCTACTTGAATAACCACTGGGTCTTCATCAACTCCTTTTATAACACAGACCACTCAAGGGCTGAAGTGTTGGTAACCTGCATTTCGGTGTCCAATGCCTCACAGCAGCTGAGCCACCCTGAGATGCTTGTGGCCACATGATGGCCACAGTCAGAGCTTTGAAAGTCAGTACCAAATGAACGCATAATTGGACACCAAAAATCAAGTGTTACTTTCATGTTTCCTCACCCATATCACCTCATTTCTTCCTGCCGAGTCTGCGATATCTCCACTAAGCTGACCTGTCAGGTTCTAGCTGGATGCATGTAGGTGCAGGCCAGCATCGCTTCCGTGTTTTTCAGACACACCTACTCTGTGGAAGGGAAGGAGCCTAGCTGCTGTGTTTTTGTAGCACTTGCTGGCCGGATTTTTCTTTTGCCTAAGCACTAACCAGAACGTCTGGTTAGGGGGACTCAATCCCCAGTCCCCAGGACCAGACAAAGGGTTAATTCTGGAAAATTCAGTACTTGACTGTACCTGCCTTATTGTGTACCAACTTAACTGGAAAAAAGGAGTTAGAAATGCCGGCTCCAGATCTCTCTCTCATTCACAGGTTATTTTGGAAATCTGCAAGTTACACTTCCTGTTCCGTTTTTTTTTGTTTGTTTTATTTTGTTTTTTTGGTTTTTTTTGTTTTTTTCCCTTTGGCTGATGCCTGCTGAGTGGGGCCAGTTCCTCGTCAGGCTCAGGGCAGGTGCCGTTCTCAGGCGTGGCCTCCTTTCCATCTCGCACAGCATCTTTGTCTCTGTTCCGTCTCCTCCAAATCCAGGATGATTTTAATCAGTACAGACATGTACAGTCTACAATTAAAGAGCGATTTGTACTAATATGATTTTGATTCTTCCTCCTCTTTGCTGTCCTTTCAAGACACTTGCTGGAAAAAGCTTTAATGCACTTAGTTTTCCTTTAGGTTTTCTATAACTCAGATGTAAAGGACTTTCTCTGTACAGTATATTATTCAATGCATGTTTGTTCTCTATCCTGATATATTGAACACCACACAGTTGTGAACTCGTGCCGTGGGGATGTCCCACAACCAACAGAGGCATCTAGCCCCCTGTGTATAAGGAAAGACATTTTCCTTTGCTGTACTTGCTTGAGCAGTTTTATTGTCTGTACATGTGAGCTGTGTGAGATAGATGTGAAAAGTTAAATGAATGCATTTTTCTGCCCATGTATACAGATCGCCATCTGTACAATGAACTGTATGTATGAAAGCAAATGTACTTATTTATAAATGGGTAACACTTGGAAAAACATGGCGTTGTGGTGCTTCCTCCTTCCTTTACGATCTCTCTCCAGGGAGCTGACTCTCAAGCTCACACTCCCTGAGGCCTGCAGTGCTGAGGACACTCCCTCGAGGACGACCTTGGCACATTAAGGTGATGGCCAAATTCCCGATGACTTGGTCTCCTGTGGGACATTCTCAGTCACCCCTTCAGGCTCTTCTTCACTCAGTGAAGTGGCTGAGCACCTGCTCGGAGCTGGACACACCACAATAGGCACTGGACTGCTGTGGGCGAGGGCCCACCCGTGAAGGCTCACTGCATCCGTTGACAAAGGGAGCCTCTTCCTCAGAGGAGTTCTTCGGCCACACCACGGGAGTGCAGACCCCTCCTGTTTCACTTCAGTAGCCCAGGCTGCACCCTGACCCAGCTACCGCACCGAAGCCCAAGGCCGAAGCGGACCGCCAGGTAGAGCGACTGAGTTCAGAGACTGCTCACCCGCGGGTGCAGGGGCAGCCCTGGCTATAGTTCCCAAGGCCAGAAGCCCACTGCTTCCAGTGGCTTTTCATTTCCTTTAAAAATCTGGCCAGAAAGTCCAGTCCTCATGCCATAGAGAGCTAGGCAGCTGTGTCGTGAATGGAGAGGTTGCAGATTTCCCAAAACTGGCTGGACACTCACCTTTTTAAAAAAGTGTCCAGCAGGCTGAGTCCTGCAGCCTTTCCTGTCTAGCTGCCCCTCTCTGTCTACATCAGGGACAAGCAAGGAAGGAGACCACTTCCTCTAGACACCAGACGGTGCTGAACAAACATGCCTACTGTGTAGCTACATCCACTTCCCAAAAATGACCAAAGCTGGGGAAGCAGGAAACTCCAGGCATATGGTCACCCCTGCTGGACACCGGAATTGCCTCTAGAGAGGAGAGGACGCGAAGGACTCGCCTGCATGGTCTGGAACCATCCCTGGATGGCTCTAGTTATTTCATTAAAAATCAAAAATGGATAAGTGCTTGGCAAAAAAAAAAAAAGCTTTTTAAGGATTCCTGGGACATTGGAAGAAAGGTGAAAGGAACTGTTTCCTAAAAAGTTAATTCTTAAAAGGAATTTGTCCTGAACCTGATTTTAAAAACCACTCAGAGCCGCAGCGAACAGCTAACCCAGCAAGTTGTTCGTCAGTTCTCGGAAGTCCCAAATCAGACTGTCCCCTTGTCGTGTTCATTCCCTAACAGGTGCCTGTTCACACACCACTGTGCACACGTGCGTGCGGTAAGCCGGGCTCCCACCACGGGCTGGGCTGGGTACACGGTGGCTGAGGGGCAGAACGTGGTGTCACCCTCTTTCAGCTTTGAAAATGGAAGCTGGAGGAGTTTGGAGAAATTTAGAAACTGAGTCCTTCTGTCCCCAGACACGAGGATAGGGCATTCATAATAAGGGCATTGCGTCTGGAAGGCCCTGTGATAAAAAGGAAGGTCCCTCAGAAGGGACACAGATCAGGGCACATCGTAATGGGCCATTCTCTTGACATGCCCACTATGTGCCAGAAGCTGGGATTAGGACTTGACACATGTTCTCTTACTCCTCACATAACCTCTGACAGATGACACTGCTCTCTACAAGTCACAAATGAGGAACCGGGTCCTGAGAACCTAAATTGCTCAAAGTAAAGGCGAAGGGGCGGGGTGGGGGAGTCTGAATCAGATCTGCCTGGAAAGTCTCCCCCGCCCGCTGCACTGCTCCCTGCCCCATACTGTGCTACCCCCTCCTCAGACGGGGCAACCTAAGAAAAGCGAGCGACCTGAATGACACCAGGTGGAGCACAGGCGGCGGGTCATGAAGGAAGCTTAGAGAGTCCTACTTTGTGCTTTGGAGAAACAACTCTGCCAAAGGCAAGAAGAATAACAACTTCAGGACCTCCAGGCATTCCAAACCTGGTAAGACGGTGAGGTCCCTCCTGAGGAGGTAAAGGGGTGACCCTCTGGAGAGAGAGGCATCATCCTGTCTGAGATTGTTCGAATGTTCACAGACACAACGACCCTTGAGAGGCTAGCACAAAAGCCAGAAGTGAGATGGCACACTCACAGGGTCAAGATGCTTCTGTCCTCACCACGAGACCCAGCCCTGACCTTGACTGAGAGAGAGATCAGCATGTGATGTGTATCGAGCCACGTGCTTTGTGTGCTTTTAAGCACATGAAGGTCCATGTAGAAGCCTTGATTCAGGACTCCACAGATGCGTAAAGCAAAGACTTCTCAGGTTCTGGTTCCTGTATGTTAGAAACCAGATACCATACTATAATATTAGGAAGAATTCATGCCACCGAAGGGTCATTTACCTTATCAGAGCATTTGCTGTTAGGGTCCCTTTAAAGAGTGAGACCCCGGCTAAGTTTTGAAGGGGTTTTAGCACAGTGCATCCTGGTGCGATCCCACCCAACCTGACCATAAACACATCGGCTGAACCCTGGGAACTGACCCACAGTGGAACCTTGGCTTGTTCGCAAAGCTTCGCTCCATAAGGAATAGAGACTTTTTTTTTTTTTTTAAGAAAAAGGTTAATTGAATGCTGGGGGGAAAACTTCTTGCCAAGGCCCTTATCAGGCCCTTACAGCTCCACCCTCCAGGCCACTCTCTCCAGGGTGAGAAGAGTTTCTCTACCCACGAGGAAGGCATCCCCACTGGTCCAGAGTTTGGACGGTTACAGACAGTTACGGGCCATTTCAGAGCCTGTGCCATTATAAATATCATGAGTCCCTTTACCTTCCGTGCCCACCTGGGGATATTCAATTGCTCTCAACCCTGTTAAAAGCACTGGCTCCTTTTGTTGTCGCAGTGAATGAAGGTAACAGGCAGGACGGCTGCTCTAGACATTTATTAAATCGTATGCTGCACCAACACTGCATTGTACTTCACAGGAGACTGGCCACAGACAAAATAAACCACCATGAATCCGCTTTCGGGGGCTTTTTGGCTCCTTTGTCATCCAATATACACTTTGGCAAACAGACCAGTTTACAGACTTCCACTGCAGATCTGAGGTTTCGTTTTTCTATGTGGCATTCTGGCAAGGGAGATACACATTGTACTTTGGTAGTTTGTCCAGGGTGGAGTTTTTCCCACATGTAAACATTTGACTACACGAGTGTGTGCCAGGTGATGAATTAATGGCACCCCTGCCCTTGCATGATCTAAACAGGAGGCCAACACCCTCATCCAGGCTGCAGTGGAGATGAGAGGCTCCGGGAGCCCAGGCGGCCCTACGGGGGAGGGCGCTGGACCGCAGCCACCTGCTCGGAGAAGTGGCACCGCCTGAGGCAGGACCCGCAGCAACAGCCGTGGATTAGAAATCTGAGCAGCATTTAGGTGGGGAAAAAGCAACCCCTAAAAGAACGACAGTCAGGTTTGGATTTTTTTTTTTTTTTTAATTTCTTCCTTTAAGTAAACTGCGTCTGTCTGAAACTGTGTCATGCTCCCCAAAGCCCAGAAAACGAGGAAAACAAGGAGAGAGCTTGCGCCAAGTCGGAGAAGCACAAGATCAATGCCCCAATCACATTATTTCTCAACTGAGACCAAACAGTGACTCAGCTAACAGCATAACTCATGTGTGGGGTCGGGGGAATTCGGACTTGGTCCCAACTTCCTGTGAAGGTGGAGGGCAGATGAGGCTCCCCGCCCCCCAACAGAAGCAGGCAGCCCCATGTACATGAAAAGGGGCAAAAGTGGCAGCTTTTCGTTTAAAAGGGTTTGTGTCCTCACCTCCGGTCAGAGCAGTGCCCGCGCTGGCCCACGGAGGTGGGGACATGGGAGCGTGCAGGCTGAGCTGCAAGGGAACCCACCACCCGCCACAGCCTTTGCAGGGGGCTGTCTCCCTCCTCTCCTGCAAGTGCCCACAGCTGCCGAGGGCACGTCTGTCTGAAGTCCTGTGCCCCTATCCCCTTCCCAGCAAAGCCGTTCTGGGTCCAGAGAGTTAAAAAAAAAAAGAAGAAGAAGACTCCAGAGCAAGGCTGGGCCAAAGCCACATCAGTGGAGCTTCCAAGGGGCCAGTACCTCCCCTCTCCGGGGGAACCTCGCTCTGATCTCCACCACAGATTGCACATAATATCACTTGCTCCCCTGCCAAACACTGAGCCCATTCAGACCACGTGCTACTCAGCAAGCGAGACTCCTGGTTTGAGTTCAGTTACACAAAGCAAGTCTTGGCTTTGCCAGGCCTGTCGCTGAGGCCCCTGGGTTCCTCCCACAGCCTTGTGCTCTCTGCAGCCCCTGGATTCGGTCCAGCACCCGCCGCCTCGAGGGGGAGGGGCGCACTCCGTCTCCTTCAGGGCTCTGAGCTTCTGCGACCAGGGCTGACCACCCAAAGCTTCTCCATGGCAGGGGCTGACGGGGACGACGGGGGCCGGGGTGTGCGCATGACTAACAGGACACCAAAGCAGCGGGGAGGAGGAGAAAGCAGAGGCGGCCAAGCTCCAAATCCCAGAAATCATTGCTCAAAGAGGGACGCTGCCCCCACGCTCCCCACCCACCCGCCCAGCCATCGTGGGGAGCGGGAGCCCTGAAGGCAGCCTCCGTGGCTGTGGAAAGACACCCGTCAGAGCCCCCCCGGGCCTGAGGAGGCCAGCCACAGCCAGGCCCCTGCCCGCAGGACGAGAACAGCTCCAGTCACTGGGAGCTGGGGCTGTCGCCCTCTGTGAGCGTCTTGAAGTCCATGGAGAGAGCTTGTTCTTCCGCCTGGGGGGGCCGCTTCCAGTCGGATCGAGTCAAGATGTAGAGCACGGCCACAGCAAAGCCGGCCAGCAGCAGGCCCAGCACGTTGGCCAGGACGCCCTCGGGCTCGAACATGCTGTACTCGGTCCTGCAGGGTCAGGGCAGAAGGGAGGAGCCATCCAAGGAGTCAGCATCAGGCCAAGGGCCATTTGCACCTGAGCCAGAAAGATGCCTCGGCCCAGGCCCAGCCCCTCCGTCCCCCACCCAGAGAGAAACCGCCAGGCGGCTAACTCCGCCGAGAACCGGCTCGGAAGGCGGAGGAGGTCCAGGGAAGCAGGACGGGGCTCGGCCTCTGTAGGGACCGCGGCGCGGGACGCTCACCCGAGTTTAAACAGCAGCGCCTCCTTCAGGCCCAGCAGGGCGGCGCCCACGGAGAGCAGGAAGATGGCAGCGCCGAAGAAGACGTGCTGTGGGCGGTAGCGGATCCGCAGAGAAAACGAAGCCCCCGGGAACAGGAAGAAGCTAAAGCCCACCAGCCACTAGAAGGAAAGGCGGGGTGGTGCCGGGGACGGGGTTGGCCACCGTCTGACCAACCCAGGGACGTCCCGGGCAGGCTGCAAACCCCTCCACCCACCATGGGTTTCTTCCGTCTTAAGAGCAGTGATGGAGGAGGCACGAAGCACCTGTGGGAAAGGTCCCTGAGGCCTGGTCCCACGCATCACACTTGAGCACTGGGGAGGCCGGGCCTGTGGCCAAACGCGCGTGCGCAGCTGAAGGGCCCCCCCGGGACCCAAGATCCCCTCGCCTGCAAAGGCTGGCTTTGTACCCATCTCGGAATCTGGAAGCAGCATCCAGCTGTACTAAAGCACCCCTTTCACCTGCGGACACACCTGGAGAACGGGCCCTTCCGTGGCATTATTTTAGCCCTGTTCCCCACCTCCCCGCCTCGCTGCGAGGCTGAAGGGACTCACCTGCACCAAGTAGAGAACAAAGACGAGGATGCCGCACCAGCTGTGCAGGCTGTACAGGTCCGGATAGCCCTTCTTCCTGTGGTAGTCAAACACCGCCACCAGGCCTGGACCAGAGACGAGGGGTCACGTGAGGACAGGCTGATGGGGACGGGAGCAGGTGAGGTGACCCAAGGGAAACCTGATTAGCAGGGATTTCTGGGCTCTTGTCCCAGCAGCCAGTGTCCCCGCCTGGGATGCCTGGAAGGGGGAGGGAGCAGGGCGGCAGGGGTGGGGGTGGGGAGGGCTGAGCCCAGGAACTCACCCACCAGGGCGATGATGAAGGCGAAGACATGCAGCAGCCCGTGCAGGATTTTGGTGGTGCGTTTGGCCTCGTTTCTGAAGACGCGGTAAACCAGCAGGGCTGCGAGAACGAGAGGGAAAGTCGGTGCCCTGGCGGGAGCGGGAGCCTGAGCCTTCGTGCCGCGGGCAGCGAGGAGACACACCTTGGCCGGAGGTGCTCTGAGCTAAGGGCTCGTCCAGGTCCTTCAGCCACAAGAAACCGCAGAGGAAACAAGGCTCCTCTGGGCCCTCTGGCCTTGGGAGCCCTAGCACTGCCCCACCCACCGCCACCTTCTGGTCAGAGGTCTTATGTCCAGGCTTTGGTTTAGCTTGACCCTTCAGTCGCACACAGGAGTCCCCAAGCTTCTGAGCTCATCTTTTGGCTATGATGGTCCTCGCATCGTCCAATTTCGAAGCCTGATCAGAAATTCACTGCTCTCAGGAAGCGGGGCAGGGCCAACACCCCTTGCTGCTACTGGAGAGGAGCTTCGCCTCCAAGTCCAACATCGTGCGCCCCCCACACTTGATTTTTTTTTTACCCCAACTTCAAACCGCCCCTGCAGAGGACGCCTTAGCTCCCAGCCCAGCCCCTGGACCTCCCCTCCGCGAAGCACACCCACCCTTGGGTGCTCCTTATCGAAGCAAGAGGTGAAAGAGCTGGGTCAAGTTGGAAAGGACCTGCCACCCACCAACCTCAGTGCCCCTGTTTGGACCCCCAGTGTCCCCAGGCTCTAAGCCATCTTCCTTCTCTGTCTTTTCTAGAACCTGAGATTTATCTAACAGCAAGAGACCTCTGGGGTGATCGGTCTGCAAACCACCTCTCAGGAGAGTAGCTCCGAGGGATCACGGGGGGGCGCGGGGACAGGGGCTACTCACCGTCTCCCTGCAGGAAGACCAGGCCTATGACCATGCAGAGGGGGTGCACGTTAAACTGCAAGGCGCTCTCCCAGGCAATGCCTCCTCGGTACAGGCCGAGCCAAGCACCCGTCATGGCCACCACCGTCAGGCCCAGCAGCTGAGAGAAAGCCACATAGTAGGGCAGCGCTCTGGGGGCGGGCGCCATGCTGGCTTGGCTCTCCATGCTGAGGCGGCAGCTGCAGGAAAGACAGCAGAGCTCAGAGGGGCGGCCCACAAGCTCCAAATGATACATCCGAGGGCCCCCGAGGCCGACCTCTGCCCCTGCCCGCTGCGCCCCAGTCCCCCAGGCTCTTTGCTGTCGCAGTAATCACCGTCCCACATCCAAGACCCCTCCCGCCCCCCACCGTGCTTTCCCACTCAGCAGGAGGGCCCAGCTGTCCCCACTGGCAGTGCCCAGAGTTCCACACGCAAAGATGGTGCAAAGAAAGGTCCTCCAAATTCTGGGCCAATGCCTGCGCTTTACTTTCTGTTTCCTGAGGCAGTAGGTTTTCTCAGGCGGGGTTCACAGGCGAAGTACACAGAAGGAGTCAATTCCTTAAAGGTACAGGGTTAGTCACGGTTTTCTTCCAGATGGATTATAAAGTACATCTGGGGTGAGAAATGGGGATCCCGCCTTGCCCATGCCTGGTTTTTAACCCTGAAGCTGGCGATGACACGTAGCCCCCCACCCCATAGCCCCGCAGGCCTGGGCACAGCCCGGAGCTGGCCTCCACCATGCAGACCCCACTGGGGGCAGGAGCAGCCAAGCAGCCTGTCACCCTTCCTGCCTCCCTTCCCCTCCCATCGAGGGCGGGCTGGAAGGGCACTCCTCCCTCAGGTGAGGCTTCCAAAACTGAAGGCGCGATAAATGAGACCTATCAGGTGAGACTTCGCGGCTCAGAGCTGATGGGGTGTCCCATACACATCGTTTAACTCACGCCATCCTACAAGAGAACAAGTATGTCGCTGTTCTCATTCTACAGACGGGAAAATGGCAGCTCGGGCTGGTGTGGGAAAGCCTCGCTCTGGGGGCCGTGTGGGAGCGGGTTTCCTGGTTCCTCTGTTCAGTCCCCCAGCCGGTCCCCACTGTTTCCACAGCCTTGTCCAGGGTCAGTGTGGCCTGTGCACAGCTCTTCACCCTGAATCTGTTGGATCTCCTGAACCCCGGCCCAGCCTGGCCCACACGCCCCGGAGGATGGGAGGAGGTGAGGCAGGCGGTGAATGGCAAGGCCTCCATCTGCCTTGCCAAGGTGCTGGCAGAGGGCAGAGCACTGTTTCCCCTCCCTAGGGGAAGGCAGCTGCCCGCCGGCCTCCTCCCCACAGTCCCAGCCTCCCCCAGCAGCAGGGCAGACATCCTGCTTCTTCTTCATTATCAGCAGAGAATGACTGCCGAGCAGACGTTAGGCTAACAAATTTTGGGGTCACCCCTCTAACATTGAGCACAAGCTCTCTACCCTTACTGCTGAGAACTGGTTTCCAGTTGGCCTGGCCTCGTCTCCCTGGTGACCGGGCTGTGTTTACCCCTGTTCTCTGCCAGCCTGATAACTGTTGACAATGCCACCATTTAAAAGGGGGCAGGGGTGTGATAATACACACTCCCTACGGCAAAACACAGATAAGCAAAAAAAAAAAAAAAAACCCACAAGTAATCAACATTTTGATTTATATCTTTATATCCTTTTCTTCTAAAAATATATACATAGTCTTTTATAGAAACAGGATCATACCAGTTTCTAACCTGCTTTTTTAATTTAATGATACGTCATGAATATCTTTTGTTAAACATTTAACTAGACTTCATTTTTTTCACTAAACAACACGAGGTGACCACCTTCGTGCACTTGTCTAATTAACTCCTAAATGGAAAAATGGAATCCTGAGGCAAGAGCTAGGTTCTTTTTCAGTTTGTTTTTGTTTTTGTTTTTTTTCTATATGTTCTGTCAAATCATCTTCCAGGAAACACCCCAATGGCAGATGCGAACACCTGTTTCCGGAAGCCCTGGCAGACAATGAATCTCTATGTCTAGAACTCTTGCCTCTGTTCTTATCTGTCACCTCTGTATTGGTGACTCCCAAATCCAGTGCCAGTCTCGTCCTTATCCTCTGAATTCAAACCCCGTTTCTCACTGTCCACCAATGTCTCTACCTGGATATCCTCAAGCACTTCAAACTCAGCACATCCGAAGTCACACTCCTCTGCTGACCTCCCAGGTAGCTAGTGTGGCTATGCTTCTCCGAGTCCCAGCACCTACACCTCGGCGGACAAGCCACCGAATCCTAGGGTTCCTCCCCCAAGTCTCTCGCCATCGCCTCCCTCCCGACCATCTTCACTGCCACCACCCAAGCCCAGGGGCACAGAGCTTCTGCCCTGTCTCTCTACCCTCTTCAATCTGCCTGACCCCCCTCCCCCAGTGACAGAGACAAAATCATGTGGCCCCACCCCACACAAACAGCCATCCACTCCCTGCCAGCGAAACACCAACTCGATGTCCATCTGCAGCCCCAAGTCCACTCAGGGGAGACTGTCCAGCTCCCAGGCTCTAGCAACGCAAGCTGCTGTTGTCATTCCCGCCACCCCACACTGCCCCGTGCCACGCTCCCTGCCCCTGCCAACGGTCACCTCCTCCACTTCCCCAGCCCACCCTCCACCACAACCTGAAACGGGCATTGTGTTCACCACTTTGTCCTCCACGTCCCCAAGACTGGCCTGGAGCTTACTTACCCTTCAACCTGAAACGGGCATTGTGTTCACCACTTTGTCCCCCTCCTCCACGTACCCAAGGCTGGCCTGGAGCTTACTTACCCTCGTGGGTGTCCTGTCCTGTGAGCTGGTGGGACCTCTGGGCTGAAGCACCCTGCGAGCCCCTTGTAGGCAGACGGTGCGCCTCACTCCTCCCGTGTCCTCTGGGAGCTAATCCTTTGCCCCGACTCCGACAGGCAGAATGCGCCGAAGAGCAATGCTGTCCTCCCCTCCTTGATTAGATTCATCCCCAGAGAGCCCAGGGCGGCCAGAATCTGATTAGCTCTGAATTAGGAAAAACAAAAGGAACATTCTCTGCTGCTGGTGAACCCGCCACAGCTTCTTTCTGCCAAGGGGAGTGAATCGCAAGGACAGAGATGGGAACTCAGGGCCGCCAAGGACCGTCACCCCTGGACCTTGGAGCCACTCGGTGGTAAGGCAGGCCAAAGCCAGCTTTTTCCCTCCCAACCGATCTCCCAGTGAGACAGGCAGAAATTGGAGTGAGGGTCTCTTCGAATCTGTGATAAGAAGTATGGGTACAAGGAGGACAAAGAGTAAAAGCGGCCAAATATATGGTGACGGAAGGAGACCAGGCTTCGGGGGTAAGTATTGTTGTACTGTAAAGTGGTGCACCAGGAATTCTTACAGTGTTATTAACCAATGTTACCAAATAAATTTATTTTTTAAAAAAAGTTCCTAAAACCCTTGGAATTTACCAAGTGAAGAAAATGATAAAGGTGTCTTATGTTGTGTCAGTGGAGCCCCTAGGTAACCTAAGAATGGGGAGGGGGGGAGGGCTGGTTGCCGCAGGAACCAACCCTGAGTGAATACAGGGGATGGGCCTTCCGATTTCACCCGCGCCCCGTCAGCCTCCAGAGAGGAGAGAGGGGCTGTAGATTGAGTTTAATTGGCCAAGGCCAATGATTTAATCAATCATGCCTGTGTAATGAGGACTCCATAAGAACCCAAAAGGATGGAGTCCAGGGCCTCCAGGTTGATGAACATGTGGAGATCAGGGACACTGGCCCACCCTAGTTCCCTGGGGACTGAAGCTCCAGTGCTCCTGACCCTTACAGACCTCACCCTATGCCCCTCTTCCATCTGGCTGTTCCCGATGTTATATCCTTTTATAGTAAACCAGGATCTAGTAAGTAAAATGGTTTCTGAGTTCTGAGAGCAGCTCTAGAGAATTAATCGAACCTAAGGAGGGGGTCCTGGGAATCTCTTGTATACAGCCCTTTGATCAGCAGCACATGTAACAACCTGGTCTTGCGACTGGGGGCAGGGAGCAGGCGGTCTTCTGAGCCGCTAACCTGAGGGATCTGATGCTATCTCCAGGAACGCAGTGTCAGAACTGAGCTGAATTGTAGGACACCCAGTCAGTGTCTGCTGAGAACTGGAGAACTGCTTGGTGGTGTTGAAAAGAAATTACACGCTGGAATAGTGCAATGACTATGTGTGGCTATAACACTCTGCACTGTAAATTTACATCCCGAATGCCCTTGAAAGTCAGAACCCTAATACTGTTTGCACCCCACAGTGGCGGAGTGGAGATGCGTGCTTGTGTTTGCTGGGAGGACAGGGGACCTCGCGGCTAGGGGACCCCTGCTCTGAACTCGGCACCTCCCATTCTCTTATTTAAACTTCTCAAGAACACGACCAGGTTGTTACATGTGCTGCCGATCAATCCCAATTTGATGGATGAAATTGGGGCTCAAAGAGGATAAATGACGTGCCCAAAATTATCAGCAGCAAAGAGCTGCTTGACTCAATTGTTTCTTGAGCACTTACTATATGCCAGACACTTTGCTAGAGGCTGGAACTCTACAGGTCAGACGTGGTCCCTGCCTTCAAGCGGCTCGTAGATAAGTTGCAGAGCAGAGGCAGATTTTAATGTAAAGAGTAGTAAGGATTCATGCCACGAGTTAAACTCAGGCCTCCGAGAGCTTTTTCCACTGTACACACTGAAGAGTGTCCCCTACTTAAATACTCTCCAGTGGCACGCTCCTCCAGCTCGTCTTTGAGTTGGTTGTCTGTTGCGGTGCGACTCTGTACTTTCTAACACCCAGTCCCTAGGGCAGAGATGTCACGCTTTCCAAATACCGAAGCCGGCCCAGGATGTGAATGTGCGCTTGCCAAGGAAGACACTGAACCGGGGCTGCAAGACAGTCTCTCCCCACCCCATGCCAGTCCTCTTGTGTCTTCCTCATCCCTGGGGGAACCATGCTCCTCAAGCGGTTTAAACCCAAGTCACATGAGCACCGGTGTCCCCTGCGGACTCTCCTGGGAGGAAAGGCAGCAGGGCCAGTACCACTGGTTGAGAGAGAAGGGGTGACAGGAGCGCAAGCTACTTGCAAGATCTTCATGTCAGTTGCTCCAAAGGCAGCTCTCCTGGTCCACGTGGGCTCCAGGTAAACAGGCAACCGGGAGGAAGCCAGAGATGAAGAATGGCATTTTGAATTACGGGAGCTCAAGCTGTCTCTGCCATACTCCCTTCTAAGTCCAAGTATGAGGAGTGACAGGAAAACTCACACCAAGCAAGACCTCGGGCAAGCCTATGCCTTGCCCCTGTATAGGAGAGCTCACCGTCAGTAAGATCTAAGTATGAAAAATCCAGATTTACAAAAAAGACAAAGTAGTGAGTGGTTCTGCGCTCTATAGATGATGAACTGAAAGTTTCCTTCAGCAACATTGCTTATTCAGTTTAACAAAATTCACAGCCCATCTTTGTGCAAGGAGGGGCTGCTTCCGATGCTGGGGGATTCGGAAAAGACATTTCAATGACACTGGATGGAATCTGACCTATCCACAAACGCGTTTTCATCTGAAACGTTGAAATCGCTTGAGATTCACTCCCTAGTAAGCAAATGCCTTTCGGTCATGCTCCTTCATTTCCCCGTCTGGACAATGAGAACACTCATGCTCTTCCTTCCTACCCAGGTTGGCCCCCCGGGACCCTGGCTGTTCTTGGGCTTCCTGTGTTCCGAGAACAGAAGTTTCAAGGGACCTGGAAGCAGCCACTCTTGGCCCCACAGGTTTCCTTTGTCCAGGAGACCAGAGTCTTAGAACCAGAGGGAGCGCATGTGGCCCCTTACACTGCCACCCTCCTTCCTCTGTCAGAGCACAAGATGGGGGTGACAGATCTCTGGCAGCTTCTGGAACAGTCACTCCTCCCCTCCCACATACACCTGAGTCAGACTCCACTTAATGAAATCAGACAGGAACAGGAACTACCCGCAGGGCTCAAACGCGTTAAGCATCACTCTCTCTCCCCATGCTCACTGTGAGTCATTAAAAGGTCACCAGGCTTAATCTCATTATGGGGACCAGACACTGCACATGTCCTACAGCCTAGAAGCCGGGGGGCCTGGCCACCAAGCTCCTTATCAACAACAGGGTTTTAACTGAGTTAGAAAAGACGGTGTTGGGGGCCGGGACTAGATCTTTTCCTGATGGGTGAGGCAGGTAAACAGCTCAATTGTCCTAGAATGTCCTAGAATGTCCTAGAATAGGAGGAAAGAGAAAGCAAAGTGAGGGCTGAGCTGCTAGGCAGGGCGCTCTGCTACCACTCGCACCAAGGAGCCCCCAGGAAGAAAGCAGAGCTTGAAGTCAGGCGAGGAGCCTGGTTTTCTCAGCACCAGGGCTCCCGTTACTTGTAGGGACCCTTCAGAAATGTTTTGATTTGTGTTAAAATCAGGAAGAAAAAAAAAAATTTAGCGTTGAAGAAAATGTTTTATTTAATTTAATTAATTATTTTTACACCTACAGCACCTGGTCTTCCTAGGCGATCTCCCATCCAAGTAGTAACCAGGCTCGACCCTGCTTAGCTTCCGAGATCAGACAGGACTATATGTTTTATTTTATTTTTAAATCCAGCTTAGATGTTTGCCAACACAGGTGCTATATATATGTACATATATATATACATATATATGTACATATATTTATATATGTATATATGTGTGTGTGTGTGTGTGTGTGTTTGTTTTTTTTTTTTAAATAGATGAAGGGGCCCATGATGGCAAAAGTGCCTAGGGCTCATGGAAGTTACAATGCAGCCCTGGTCAACGGAATGTGATTAGTGACCATGTGCTCCCAGACAAGCAAGTCCCTTGTCTGAGCCTCCTTCCTCGTTCATAAGGCAGGAAGATACTGAGACTATTTTACTGGCCTGAAGCAAAGATTAAGTGGAATAAATATCTACCGTGCCTAGCACAGTGCCTGCAACACAGTACGCATTTAATCAGTAATCTAACGGAAACTAAATCTGGTCTTGATAGGGCCTTAGGAAGTCACACATCAGAAGCTGTTAACACAGGAGGTTTAGAGCTCCAGAGAGCCAGATAGCAGTGGACAGCAAGACACCCTCTAAGAAATCCACTCCCTTCTGTCTACCATCAGCTCCCCGCTAGGCAGAGCCTTTTGGATCTGGGGTGGATTCC